AAACAAAGACACACACACACATATATATATATATATATATATATATATATATATACTTAAAAAGCTTACAGCTATTACCACTAATAATCCAGTGTGTATTCCAAACCTGTTAATCAATGACATAGATCAAGGAATGATCAATAAATTATTAAAATTTGCTGATGATATTAAAGTTTCAGGTTATGAAGAGGATGCTATTGCCTTACAATAAGATTTGGACTATGTATTGGGCTGGGCAAATAAATGGCAGATAACTTTTAATTATAACAGATGCAAGGTAATGAATGTGAGATATTACAATTTGAATTGTGAAATTAATTTTGATCGAAATAACCTAAAAGAGTGTTATGAAAGAAAAGTATCTTGGTGTTCTTGTTAATCAGACTTTTAAGCTATCCAAGCAATGTGCATTGCTAGTGGCAGGACAAATAGGACATTGAATTGTTGGAAAGGGTTCAGTGAGCTACTGGGTTGATACTTGGGTTGACCTTTGGAACAGGTTGCCTTCAAATGTGGTAGATAAAGTCAACTTAAGGAAAGTATTGATAAATACTTGAATGATAAGGGCTGGCTTTGAATGTTTTATTTTTAATTTACAGTTTAGTAAATGCAATGGCCTAAATGAACCAACAGGTCCTGTGTGGCTTTAAATTATATGTACGTATCTAATACTACGACTTACAAATGAAATGAAAGTAAGAAACTTTATATTAATAAGTTTACATTTTGAAAAATCTTGATCTAATGATAAAAGTGTGTCCAAGTCACTAAATCTTGTGTAAAATAATACCAAAATGCCCCTCAAATTTGCTTAATATACATAGGTATGTTATCTACATATATATACCTGTTGTCACTGGTTCAGTAGATTATATCTTTCACTAACTAGGCCCAGACAAATTATCATGTAACTCGGGCAAAAATTATTCTTCAAAATCCTTAAATGTGTGAAAAATTAACTTAAAAGATATGCCAGCTGAGTTGATGTAAAAACCACATCCAGTGGCTCAGCATTAAGTCTGAAGGCTTATTACGCTAAAAATCGGGTTTCGATACCCATGGAGGGCATTACACAGATATTGAGATAGCCCATCGCGTAGCTTTGCGCTTAACAACAAACAAATTTAATGCGACAGTTACAAAACTTTAAGGCAAATAATATCTTTATTTATTTTTGAATACGTTTTATTAAAATAATACATAAATAAAATATTGATAAAATGCTTACCTATAACTATAATTGGAAAAACTAATTGACTCTCTTAACATTTTTTTATATAACCGCAGAACTTCTCCTCTGGTGGCTGCCATCTTATCTACTCTCAATCCAGTACAAATCTATAAATTTCTGGAATATTGGTGTAAATAGTCACTCTTTTCCTTTTAATTTGAAATTATAAAAATGCTGATATTATTTTCTTAATGAGGGTTTTTATTTTGCGTTAACGATATGCCACTAAGTGGTTTGTCTGTTTGGAATTAAGCACAAAATCACATAATGGGCTATCTGTTCTCTGGCCACCACGTGTAACGAAACCCGGTTTCTAGCGTTGCAAGTCCGCAGACATACCGCTGCCACTAGGTGGTAAACTCATTCTTATCCAGTGACTTCTCAGATTAATCAACCAGGATAAAGATTAAAAACTAATCCAAAGGTAGAATTTAAATCACTCAGCACTTTTAGATGCCTTGCTTTGTCGTAAAAGGGCCTCCCAGTAGCACAGCGGTATGTCTGCGGACTTACAACACTAGAATCCGGATTTCGATACCCGTGGTGGGCAGAGCACAGATAGCCCATTGTGTAGCTTTGTGCTTAATTACAAATAAACAATATTGTCGTAAAGGGTTATTATATTAGGTCGTCAAGAAATTAATGTCGCGGTTTGGAACATTTTCATTTACCACCCCCAAAAAACGAACATCACGTATAATAGTTAAACGAACCGCCTAAACGTCACGTTAGTATAGCCTATATAATGTAGTAAGTTTAGTATACTCTAATCCCTTATAGTGATGGACAAAAGATAGAGATACACA